GCCCAGGGAAGTGGTTGAGTCACCATCCCTGGAAGTATTTAAAAGACGTGTAGATGAGGCACTTAGGGACATGGTTTAGTGGGCATGGTGGTATTGGGTTGACGGTTGGACTCAATGATCTTAGAGGTCTTTTCCAACCTTAATGATTCTATGATTCTATGGCAACTGCAATCATAAAGTTTTGCAATGAGGGGTATGCCTCTCAAAAATTGAGGGTGAGTTCAGTCAGAAAGCATGTCTTCCTTTGAAATATTCAGGAGAATTTCCTTAAAAGGATATATTGATATTTGCAAAGCTCAGTAAAACTAGTCAGAAATCAATGTTAGCCTATAAAACACTAACATTCTCTTGGGAATTAACCACCGTATATGGCTGAAGTAATTATTTCCATTAATTTTTATTTAAAAAACAGAATTTTGCCCCAATTTTAGCGTGTTCTTTTAGGTGTCATGCAAAAAATATCAAGACTTTTTAAGGCGTATATAGAATAAAAACCAGAAAAAGTTTCAGTTTTCTTTTCCACTTACATAATTAATATGATCTACTTAGGCTTTCTTGTTACTGCAATGTCTTTTTTTGCCACTGCTGGATCCCGAGAACACAAACCCAAACTAAAGTCACAACGCACGGTGATTCCCAAGGAATTAAATGGCAGAAGCAGCAACACTAAAAAACACTAAATATTGAGCCAATGTCCTTGATAAAGTCCCTAACACTGGCCACTAAACCTGAATTTTCCTAAGTCAATGGTAGTATAGGGTGGCCTCCTCCACATCCTTACAAAGCTTGACTTTAAACAACTGCTGTGCACCTCCCATCTCAAAATGGCATCAAACATCTGATGAGGTATTTCAAGGAACACATCCAATATTCACAAGTGACTGAATATTTAGATCAAACTAAAGCAGGAAGTGTGCAGGAAGAGAGTGGCCAAGAAGTGCTGGGAAAATGAAGTAAGACTCAGTAGTACTGCAAAGTACAGATGGGTAAATGCGCTGAGACAGTGAGAAGAAAGAGGAAATGTCATAACTGTGGGGCAACAGAAATGGAGAAGGCTAAAAACCGAGATGGAAAGGAAGAGGCAAACAAAAGCAGACAAAGCATTTTTTCACGAACCACAGGCCAGAGTAACCGCTTCCTAAAGTGCCATCCTAAAAAGGCATCAGCCAGGCAAAGGGACATGTAGTCCACAAGCTGGACAGTTAATAATCAAGCCATATTTATCCTCCGATTTCCTTCTTTCACCTATTTCAATCCTGCCTGCTCTTTCGTCTCAGATTTCTACCATCCAATGTACCCACACTGTTGCTACTCTTAAAGCTCAATGACTCTACCAAAACGCCCATCACTGACTTTTAGTGCTGATTTCATGTCACCTCTTCAGCCCCTGGCTATGTGCTGTATTGTTTTCTAAGTTGGAAGGCTCTGATTGCTCTGCATTTGCACAGGATCCAGGACATGAAGACTTGGAGCTCTCCAAAGCTGGATCTTCTAGGTGTAGGTAGCTAGATCCTTGGCAGATGGTTCCTTCTTCCAAATCATACTACCAGTCACCCAAAAGAGCAATCCCACCAAATGGATGTACACTTGCAGTAGTTTTATAGCTGAACTGATTCCTGGTAACATAAGAATCAGGCAATCCTCAATCTTCCAGTACATTCAAAATACCCCCATTCTCCTCATCTCTCTGTGTCCTCTGATTTACTGGTGGTGTAAGAATAAAAAAGCTGTTGTTTCTAAGGAACTCAGGTATCTAACTTACATCAATACTCACAAACGTTCCATGAGATACTGTGTATGCCTTTAAAGGCCTAGATATGGTATTTTGAAATACCTCATTTTACGCACATGGGAATCCTAGCTTCACTGAGAATCACTCAGATTTATAATAATATTTTCCAAAGCACTGACTTATGATTTACCTTACAAATTTTACTTTCAAAGGGATTTAGTCATCTAGGTCATGTAAGTGCTTTAGAAAGTGTTATTTTTTTCTGCTCTTCCTCCCATATTTTTTGACACTGACTACTTTAGGTACTCAACTTCAGTTTGACTCAAAGTATACATTCTCTCTGTAATCAATGGACATAGACAGTTCCTTCCAAATGGTGAGTCACAGCATCTAAGTTAGATGCCTAAAGTCAGTGTGAATACTTATCTGTGTATTGTGTCTACGTTTAGGCAAGCAATTTTGTCAAGGCTGGCCTTCCAATGTACCATACGGTAAGGACATACCACAATTTTTCTTTTATTAATTGTTTGGAGACAGACAAAGCAGGTAAGATTTTTTTCATGCATATGACTTTTCTGAACATCAAGGCGGGAAGGGGCTGAGAAATCAGATGGAAAACACCCACAACTCCTCTTAAACCACAAGAGGTGCAGGTACTTGGCAACCTTCATGTAAATAACAGCATCATAATAGCAATTTATCTTCTACTGCACATTGAACAAAAGAAACACAAATGAAAAATTACCTGAGCACCATAGACTCGTTGCATTGCCTGCAGCAACTGGTTTGTATATTCAGTAAGGGTTCCTGCATCTTCTTCAAATACACTGAGCAAAGAACGAGTCTTCAATAAAAGAAAAAAAGCAAGTGGTTTTAGTCCCAAGTGAAAATATTAAAAAAAAAATCATAAACGACTGTAAATAGATGGTAGCAAAAAATACAAATCAATCAGAAATAATAAGCCTTAACTTTGCATGATTCTGTTTATTCAGAATCTCAAAACTTGTAGAAATTAGTCCTTCTATTATGGATAGGTAAACTGAGGCATTAGGAAGTGAAGTGATAAAATGCTATGGCCAAATCCTGACTCCCAGTCTCTTGCTCTAACTAACAGACATTCCTTCCAACGTAATCAGGAATGTAAAAAATCCTGAATATCTGCCTGCTGACTACAGTAATCCAAACCACGTTAAGGACTCTGGGTCAAACACCACTGGTTGCTCATTTTACTTCTCTAATGTCAGACTGCACCCCTTTCCATGAGATAATTTACAGAGTATTAATCACTCTCAACTCTCTTGAGCAACTCTTAAAGGGCCACTGCCAAAGCTAGCTGACGTAATGGGACCAAACAACTGAGCGTTCATCTACAGCAACAGGCAGAGAAGTATACACCCACTGAGAGATACCCTGTACTTTCTCCATTCTGCTAGCTCATTCTTGTCAGGGGGGGAAAAAGAGCATAATGACTTGTGTTATCTTAAAGACATGAATTCCCTTGGTTTGTTTTGGTGGAATCATCAGGAACAAAGAATTATGTTGCTGACACAGCTCCTGAGATGGGAAACAAAGATATCTCAGAATAATGCCGAGCTCCAGAATTTGCTAGATCAAGACAATAATGAAAGACGGAAGGCTGTCCCTTTAACAAAGTCATGATCCATCCTTCGTCTTAACTTTGGTAAATCCAATCTATTTGATGCTAACTGGCAATGTCTTTCCATCTGTACAGCTAATTTATATGACATTAATTAGTTTCATCTGCTTATGTGAGGGGCATGCATAAACTCCAGTACTTTCATAATCATGTCAGTCCTGCAACAGAGCAAGTGTTTTATCTATCCTCCTATTACAGGAATCTCTAATGTACCTAAAGTATCCAGGTTTGAATCTGGAAAATTTATTTCAAAGATTTAATATTGTTTTAAGTTGTTCCACTATTTTAACAGAAGGCACATGTACTTCCCCAAGGCATTTATTCTTCTCTGCAAAACTCTCTGCCCAGACTTTGTTTGTCCTGAAAAACTCAAAATCAGCATCCTTCAAGAAACCTGGCCTAAGATTAACTATCGTTTCATCTAAGCCAGAAATTAGTGTTGCTCAGCGATTAAAGTGCATGACGTGGGAGTCAGTCCTTGGCTTCTGTTCTAGAGATTGCACAGGAGTACTTCCATACTTTGAGTAACTCTAAAGCTCTCAACATTTCAGTCTGCTAACGTGCTAAGCTGCTACAATGCTTCCCACCTTAGAAACACTGGCAGCCAATGCATTTGGGAAACTAGTTTGAGATCTTAGCATGTAAGGAGATATGTAATACAAAGTACTGTTTTCAAATAAAGATAACATAAAACCCAAAGAATGGAGAGAAGGCCGAGGCAATAAAATGGATACCAAGAACCCAAACTTATAAAGGACCTTTGTGCAGAACTTCCCTACAAGGACAGTGGCATGATTTTGAGAGTTTTCCCACACTAAGCTATTATTTCAGTAATTGAAAATATATTGCTTTTCAAAAATATCTGGTTTTAAGTGTTTTATCTTCAATGATGCATTAAACCAAGCAAAACTAATGTCAACAAGCTATCTTCTATCTATACAGTGCTCATCTTCCTTGTTTTGTGTTACAACAGCACATGAAATGCACAGGTTATGAAGATGATTAAAACATAAATCTAGGGAAGGCAAAAATGATAAAACTTGACACAATGTTTATCAAGACAAATCTCAAGCCAAGACTAAAAGTTATAAAGAAATTGCCTAAAGTAGGTTACAAATCACACGTTTGTGCATGCTGGAAAAGATTTCCAAACACAGGAATGTCAGCTACATCCCTAAATCTTACTGAATTTTTGCAGGTTCAGTTTTTCAGATGTCTAAATATGGGTTCAGGTAGAACAGCTCTGGGAAATAATTTCTGAAAGTCTTGGCCTCAGTTATTAGCACATTGTTCAAAAATAATAAAAACAATAAATGACTCAAGCAGTTTGGAAGTTATTCTTGGAAACTTTTATATTTAAGAACACCATTTTAAATCACTGCAACAAAATACCAGCATGCATATATTTTTGTTGTTGCTGTTTTGACAAATTCTGGAATAGCAGCTAATGCTGCCGAAATAAACCAGTAATCCAAATATTAAGCTAACATTTACGAGGCCTCATTAATAGCACCATTATCTCGGCTTCTGGAAACATAGGGAAAAAAAATTCTACTTTCATGTAAGTATTTCCCTTGGTTTTGGGAAAGCATGACTGCTTACGTAAATTTCTTTCCTATTTTGTGGCCAAACACTTCAAAATTAAGACACTTCTTATGGCCTTTTTCAGCCAGTGCTTGGAGACAAATCAAGACAAAAGTACTGTATTGTTGGGGAGAGAGAAATCAAGTTTCAGAAAACTGATGAAGAAATAACTTTGGCCTAATTCTCTTCTGTCTTGCATGTAATTTACATACTTCACACAGTTTATACAAAGTGAGGTTATATCCTCATTTTACCATCCCTTTGCATTGCTGTAAGTGACTGCACAGGGCAGAGGAGAATCAGGTCACTTTACGCAGAAGTAAAAGATCCCATAAGCTGCTATGCTGTAAGTTCTGTGGGACAGAGACTGCCTTTTTGCTTTGATTTTGTAGCACCCAGCTCACAGAGGGACCCTGTTGTGCTGTGAATCTAAAGCTCTCCCCAAGAAAAAATAAAAAGGTAAATGACTGAAAAAAAAACTGTTTCCTTTCATGAAAAAATAGCTTTTAGCAACACTGGGCCATTATAAAAATTAAACAATGCCCCTCCCTCCCAAAGTTGTAGGACTTGAACAAAAAGTAATGACCAAATCAAGCCAAAACATCCTGCAAATACTTGGGTTTATGCACAGCCTGGTATTTCCAGTAATTGCAAAGGAGATGTTAACAGCCTTCATTTCAGGTCAGAAGAAAGACGAAGACATCCAAATTCAATTCAGTGCATTGTTCAGCTACTTTCAGTCAGTGTTACATTTTTATTCATCGAAGGAAGTGTTGACTGAAGGGGTAAATGAGTTCACTTATCCTGTGGGTCAAGTTCTTCAGCTCCAGACTGCAGCGGGGAGGTTAATACTAAAAACGTTAATAACTGCTCATAATAAATCTAGCACATTTGGTAAACTGTGGAACACAGTACAGTTCAGGCTGGCAAGGAACTCTGCAGGTCACCTTGTCCAACCCCCTGCTCAAAGCAGGGCTGACTCTGATATTGTATCAGGTTACTCAGTTTTTCCAGTGGAGTTTTGAAAATCTCCAAGGATGGAGATTCTACATACGCCATATCAAACAGATGATGAAAATCATTCTTACTAGAATGGGATTTCATGGAACCACAGAAAAACAGGATAACAAGAGGTGATCAAAATGAGCCCCAAGACTCATTAAGTCCTGACAGGTGCATATCCAATCTTTCCTTCAAAATGTCTCATGACAGACTCCTAACACCTTTCAGCAATCTGCTCCACAGCTTACCTATTCATTCCTCCTCCTGATCCATCAGCAAATGAGTTAGGGTTACAACACAGGGCTACTTGGGAGCAGGATCCATGCCGATCCACCCTGTCCTTCCTTCTTTCCCTGCTTCACCAATTAATTTTGTATCTCTCTCTGCATCACGCTTTGTCCGCAAGCGCACCTACTCCACCCCTCTGTGAAATTTCCACTCTCTCCCCTTCCTCTTACTTTTCTCTTTCACCCAAACTTCCCTCCTTCCATCCTCCTTTCCCAGCTCTGCAGGCCTCACGCCTCTCTGCCCCCTGAAAACATGACAACATTGCACGTTCTTCACTGTGGGGTTTCCACGGTCCTCAGGGGTCACTTCTGCAGCTATGTCGCATCATGGCTCCCAGCACTGGGGCACAGGGCGCTTACACTGGGCTGGGCGTAGCACAGGGGCGAGGGGAGAAATGTTCTCCCCTGCCTGCAGGAGTTGGGAAGGAAAGGGCAGCAACCGCCTGTCCTCGTTTCTCGGACTCCTTCAGAAGGAGGTCATCTTCAGTGGGATCCACCTCACCTTATCTATCCTCACAGGAAGCCCCTGTATCTGACCTACCTACCACCCTTGGGATCCCTCACCACAAGCAGGGAGGAGCAGGCATACTGGCGGTGGCATTCCTTCAGCCCACTTTTGTCACCGCGGCCAGGTGACTCACAGTGCTTAAGTCTCCCTTTCCCTCAGGGAGCTCAAGGAAGCCAAGGCACCAAGCCATGCCCACCTATCCTTCCCCAACACATCTCACTTCTTCAGGGCAACCCTTAGAGCCAGCCAGCGCACACCCAGATGGGACAGCGTGAGGAAAAAGCCGAAGAAGGGGTTACTCTGAGGGAGGTGAAGGGAAAGGGCGCTGTGCCCCGGTCTCCTCACACCCT